TCTCTCGAGGACGGTATCTCCTACGTGGAGGTCAGGATGATGTTCAACCAGAAGTGAGTCGTGTCGTCATAGAGCGTGTTGATGAGATACTCGACTGACACCAGGTATCCCGTAGATACATCACCGGCGCGGATGGCGCATTCAACGTGCCCCATCGTGCTTGGCTCCAGCTGTACGACCGTGTGCTGGAGGACGTCAAGGCCGACATGAAGAAGCAAGGACGCGAAGATGAATTCGTCGGATCCAAGGTCTGACACAACTCTTTGTCCTAGTACACGCAGTGCAACCCCTCACCCCACCTTACGTCCAGGTCATATACTCCGTCTTACGTACCCTCACCTCCGAAGAGATCGAATGGTACCTCGAGGACTGCATCGCGCTGAAACAAGAGTTCCCCCACCTCATCTGCGGGTTCGACCTCGTGGGGCACGAAGACACGCTCCGGCCGCTCGTCTACTACGCCGACCCGCTCTTACGCTTCGTGCAGCGCCAGAAGGAGCTCGGGATAGAGATCCCGTTCATGTTCCACGCCGGCGAGACGCTCGGAGACGGCACTGTGGCGGACATGAACCTCTACGACGCGATTCTGCTGGGCACGAAGCGCATCGGGCACGGGTATGTGTGGATATCCCGTACCTAGAATCGTGCGCATATATCCACGCCTTTGATGACTTCTCACAGTTTCTCCCTGATCAAGCACCCAAAGCTGCTCGAGATATGTCGCGAGAAGGGTATTTGCGTCGAAGTCTGCCCGATATCGTACGTGATACCCTGTCATACAATCAGTCGACCCGAACTGACAGGAAGGTTAACTACAGGAACGAAATCCTGGTACGACCCGCCCCGTCCATGCGCCTTCTGTACTTTCCCGCATTCACGTCCCCATGCATGTCCACAGCGCCTGACCGGCTCGATGCCGATGCATCCGCTCCCCGCGGTCATGAACCACGGCGTGCACGTCGCGCTCTGCTCCGACGACCCCGCCATCTTCGGGAACATGGGCCTCTCGTTCGACTTCTACCAGGTGCGCCCGTGCCCCCGACTGTGCTTGCGCAATATCATCGTCGGCGGCGGCTTATGGGTTGTTCATAGGTCTTCGTCGCGAGCGAGGTGAACGGCCTCGGGACGCTGCGCGAGCTCGTCTGGGACAGCATCAGAGTGAGCACGACTGTCGAGTTTTTTTTTCATATCGTCTGCATATGCTGACGGGGAGGTTCGGGCAGTACTCTTCGCTCGATGACGGAGAGAAGGAACGCGCGTACGATGCGCTAGAGAGACGTTGGACCCGGTTCGTCCGCTACATCATAGCGACGTACGGCGATGAGTAGCAGGTGCGCACAAACCCCTTCTCGTTCCGCCAGCGGTGGGTCGACTCGCTGGTTATCGTAGACGTTACTGGAGGTATCGCGCTAGTGTTCAAAGAAGACGTGTATAGATGTTGTTCCGATGTATTACGAAACAGAACGAGACAGATAGCATCCAGGCAGGCATGACCAGAACAGCGTTCAAATCGGGCCACAGCATCTCAGACAAAGCCAATCTCAGCAGCGATACCACTTGCCTTGCGTGCACTGACTCGCCAACACAGGCCCGCTGAGACAGAAAGCAAGATAGCGAGTTGGAGGACGAGACGAGATGGGACGAGACGAGGGCCTACGGGACAGGAACTGAGTACGGCTACGTGGTGCTGGTAGTGGGGACGGGACGGGACTTCTGCACTAAATATATCATAGACAGAGAGAGGCCGGGTTGCTTGGGGGGCTCTCGGAGCCGCGGCTATCCGAAACGAGACGGAGAAAAAGAAATAAAGAGAAGCGGAGCCGCGAGGGGGGAGAAGAAGGTAAACGCGAGGGAAACACGGCCGCGGGCTCTAGCGCGAGGGGGGAAGACTTCATATTTCAATTGGATGAGCGCGCGGGAGGCGGGAGGAAGAGCGATTCTCTGATGCGCGATGAAAGAGAAACGGGTTGGGAGGGAGAAGCGGAGAAGGTATTTCCGATGCGAGGTATATACTATGTATGCCGTGTAAAAATGTGTGTTGAAGTAGGGTGCGAGGCGAGGCGTGCGGATGAAGGAGCGGCGGGGTGTACGCTAGATAGGGCGATAAACAGACGGGAGTAACGCGTATCTTTGGTTGAGAAACGGGGAGGAGGGGACGGGGAGAGGGGGAGGGGCACTGGGGTGGCCGGAACGCCTTGACGTGCGAACAAGCGGTAGCGGCAGGAAGATACGAGAGCGGGCATGGGCGCGAACCCCTTTTACACCATGCTACGCCCGCGCACCGACCTACGCGTCGCTTGCACCTCCCATGATGGGCGAAGCGGCAATCTCGGAGCCCATTTGGGCATTGGGGACGATGCTAATGCTTGCAAAGCGAGTCGGCGGGCGAGGCAGGGGTGTTGTCTCTTTACATCACCACACATTGGCATCCTGTGGGTGGAGGGCCGAAGGGATCATCCGCTTTGCTTACGGGTCCCCATACAGACGGAATCTGGGTTGTTAATTGGTCAGCATACCAATCCAGTGTGTATTTCGGTCTGAGGCAGAGCGGTGGTACCCATGGACGCTGCGGAAGCGAGCTCCATGGCAAGGTGATTCGTAGAGACTTCCAGACACGGGATCTCATGGAATCGCATGGGATAGCGCGTGCTGCTTGCGAGTCTGGGCAGTTCGCTGCAAGTCTGGAATCGCTGTGTTGGCGCCGTAATGGCACTGCACTGTCAAGCCCAGTCGATAAGGCGCTGGAAGGGAGAGAACGGCAGCACGTCGCTTGTAGGGCTCTTTCGTACCGGCTTGAACAACAGGCCGCAAGGCGAACTGTCGTTGAGAATGATCTACCAGGCGCCAACGAGTCGAAAAATTCCGGAGACGTGACTTGACCCGGAGGAATAGAACAGTGCGTCGAGAGCATGTCGTACAGGCCTCGCAGCCAGCAGACAGGAATTGCAGTTTGTGCATAGGTACTCACGAGGTGGTCTGGTGTTGACTTGCAGTAGTTGATCAAGCTATGCCGGACGTGCGGGTGAGACCAGAGGAGGGTCGAGAGAGACCATGGGGGCAAACATACCTTCTGCTGGCCTCGCTGACCCGTATCCGTGGCCGTGCCAGGTCCTCGCGGAGACGCTGGTTGTGTTCTGTGAGCCTGCGGAGCTTGAGCTCGGACATGGACTGCTTCTGGACACGGCCGCTCATGTTGGGTTTGGCTTGGCGGGCGCGAGCTGGGTACGAGGTGGAGAGGGGGCGAGGGTGCAGAAAAGCAAGCGGGGAGGGGGGCGGGAGGGACGGCGGGGCCCGGACGAGACGCCTGGTGGACGGGGAGGCGGAGGAGGAGGAAGAAGAGAAGGGAGCGTCCTGGCTGTCGCACACCGCGCCAGGGTGAGAACCGTAACGTCCAGAAGCCGCCCGCCCGGCGTCTACGCTCTGTAGTGCCCATCACCGCTACTTATGGGATCTGATCGGACCCCCAATCCCCTTTCGTCCTCTCCCGCTCCCCGTCGCCCTCCCCCGACACTCCCCCGTCCCCGACGCACACGACGGCTCGCGATGACCAGACACAACACCGTCCTCGTCCAGCGCGCCTCGCCCGCTGCCCCCAAGACGCACAAGCAGACGCGCTTCGGTGAGTGCTCATCATTCTCCCCAGTGCCCACTTTCGCATGCCAAACTTCAAGCGACGCGCGCAGCCACCCGTCCTGCCCAGCATCAGAAACCCACTTTCCTCGCCAAAGCTGTTGTTCCGCGAAGCCCCGGACTCCGCTCGCGCCTCCATTCGACCAACACCAGTCGCTTTCTCCCAGTCCGAAGCCAGCTCACGACGATCCGCGAAGAGGACGAGGAGGAAGACGCGCACCGCAGCGAAGACTCGCGCGAGCTCCGGCGACAGACCAACACTTCGTTGTTTGATGGCATCCGCCCTGGCCTCGGGCGAAGGCAGGGACCCGACGAGGACGCGGACATGTCCTTATGGGACGACGAGTCCACGCTCGTCGCAATGCTCCAGGACAAGCAGGTGTCTTTCGCGTTCTGCCCGGGACAAACATGCTTATATGCGCGGCCGCAGCTCGCCGGACCTCGACGAGGACGACCAGATGCTCGAACTGGTGCAGAAGCTCAAGGCTCCGATGGCAGCGCAGAACGTGGCCCTCAGGCAATACCTCGGGGACACCGTCTTGCCCGCATATAGCCACATCAAGAACGTCCACGGCGTCCTGGAAGACAAAGGTGCGCGTGGAACCTCGGCACGCAGTCGGTTGCGCGCGCTGAAGAGACACATTGCACGCAGTTGACCTCGAGTTCGGGGCCGGGCTGCTGACGTTTGACGAGGTGTGCAAGAAAGTCGAGCGAATTGCCCTCAAGGACGAGGATGACATCAGGACCGCACACGCTCAATCGCAGGTGCGCGCCTCCGAGCCTTCTATCGTTCGCGTAGAGCCGATTCGGGTCCGTCACGCAGAGAAACGTCGTGAAGACGCTCGCTGAACTGGAGGGCGCCTACGAACGTCGGAAACAGCTCTGGTTCGCGCTTGAGAAGGAAGTGGAACAGTGCGGTGAATATCCGCGTCCTGGGCCCTGCTCTGATCGCTCCGACCCTTGATTCATGCTGACTGACACCTGGCGGTATCTCGAAGCCTCTCGTGCCAATACTGCTCTGGCCGCCCTGCCTGCCGACCTGGAGCAGACCATTGCTTCACTGGAAAAGAAGAGCAAGGCAATGGACAAGGATAACGGCGTCGCCTCAAACCAGAAGCTCCTTCGTGGTCTGCTCGAGCGGCTGTAAGACCCCCCTTGGTGCATCCCGGTTTCGCCTCCTGTCCCCCTAGTCCGTCGCTGCTATCGAACCGCTGTCGCATCTCTTTAGTCTTGTCTGTAGCATACTCTGACTGTTATCATGTTATCACTGCTGTAACTGTATGTATGTAAGCATGTCGTTCGGCCTTTCTCATGGGCCTTTCTCATGCGATATTAATGTCCTGACTGCTTTGGCCGAAGGCCGTAACATCGGCCTGGTGGTCTAGTAGTATGATTCCTTCTTAGGGCTTCACAGCAATCTGGAGGAGGTCCCGGGTTCAATTCCCGGCCAGGCCCTTCGTTTTTGGCCGTCCGCGTTTGGCTGTCGGGTTGCATGACTAGCTGGTGGAAGTGTTTGTTTCAGGGTGTGCCGAAGCTGCGGGTAGGTAGTGCGAGCATGGATTGCTCGGACGTGGGCAGCTATGTAGGTACCTGAGCTGCTCGAAAGAAGAGCAACCGGGTGTGCTTTTCGTTGTGGATTGCTTATCAGTGTACAGAATCTGTTTCCACGTAAGACAAATAGATACTGAAGTAGGTATGATAAGAATTGCAACATGAAACCCTTCTCTGGATGACGACGTCAAATAAATATATGGCCCATCCCATTGACTAAAAGAAGCAACTTATTAGTTACAGATCGTCGCTAAGTAGTCGACGTCTGAATTTGTTCGGACGCGTGGAATCAGCTCTTAGCACATTCTACGGGGAGATGTGGTGCCCTTGAAGGGGTGTCGACTATAAGTAAATAAAAAGCAAAACAAAGCGACGCCAGCAGGATTCGAACCTGCGCCTCCAAAGGAGAACAGATTTCTAATCTGTCGCCGTAACCACTTGGCTATAGCGCCTTGTTTGCGTGTAGTTGCAGACATACCATATCGCTGTCTAGCTATTGATCGTTTACCCTATGTGGCTGACTTTGTTGTCATCCGCTCACGCTGATCTTACTCGCTACATACGCCTACATCGTCTACTGTGAGTATCCATTTCGTCTTGCAACCTGTAGTGACAGTACAATGACGACCCTCGTCCAGAGTTCGCTCACAGCCCCCGCGTATCTGTATGGCAGCGCGCAGTGGTATCGGCCGCATCGCCCGCCTTACACTCTTCTCCGGCCCACAGTGTTCCCTGTGCGACGTGCGTTTCCCAACCGTCCTCTCGCCCTGGTTCCGGACATAACACAATGCCCGCAGATTGCGAAGGCGGAGCTGGCGAAGGTCAGGCAGCAGCGCCCGTTCGAGCTCGAGACGATCAACATCCAGGACCCGGGCCAGGAACGCTGGAAGCGCAAGTATGTCTACTGGATTCCCGCGCTCCACCTGGAGGGCAAGGAGGTCGCGAAGGGCCGCTGGGACGCGCAGACAGTGCACGAGGCTCTGAACTCTTGGGAGCGGTCGCCGTGGATCAAGTCGGACTAGCGGGGCTCCCGTACCAATACTATGAGAGCGCGGCGCTCGACCCGCCGCTGTACGACCGGTGCCGGGAAGAGGCGCTAGGTGCGGAGGATGCGGAGATGAGTGAAGGAGGAGAAGAGGAGGACGTACCGCGCTGCTTCAACTGCGGTGAGCCCGGCCACATCGTCTCGGATTGCGACCAGCAGATCGACCGCGCCCTCATCGCGCTCTCGCGTCAAATGTTCAACTTCTACCGCGGATCCTCGGGTGGGCCTACCCGCCGTATTCACGAAGTCGCACTCTGGCAGGAACAGCGGCTGAGGTGGCTTGACGAGTTCGAACCCGGGGAAATCCGAGGTGCCCTTCTCCGCGATGCCCTCGGCTTGCGCGATGACAATCCCGGAGAAGAGGTGCCGTGGTTGCGCAGAATGGCACGGTGGGGCTACCCTCCCGGCTGGGTTGGCTCGCATGATCCGCGCGAGCGGGTGTGGGAGCGTATCACTCAGAGCGGCGCCGAGCCCGAGGACGATTGTGACTTCAAGATCGTAGCGGACGGAGAAGAACAGGTCTCCCTGCGGCCTATGAATGATATCGCACATGACCCGACACCGAATGAAGCCCCCTCTGCATCGCCTACCGCTGAGCATCGCTGGGCAAAGTATCCCGGTTCATACTTCCTATGGGACAGGCTGCCTATCTATCGGCCAACACCGGATACATTAATATCTGAGTGGGAGGATCGAATGTATTCCGTTGCGAACGATATGGCGACGATGGGCCTGCGAGCCCCATGGCAAGGTCTCAACCCCGCTTACTCTGCTGCAGCGGCGAAATATTACGGCCATGTGCCTCCTCAAAGTGCATACTACGCTCGCTACGCTGATGCACCTCCCCCTGAACCAAACGCGCCGCCTCCACCCATGCCACCGCCACCGAGCTCTACTCCGCCCCCTCTACCACCTTCACTTTCACCCGAGTCCACGCCCCCATCTGTCCGCGTCTCCTCAGTACCCTCTTTTATGCCACAACTTGCCTCGCCGCCACGAAGTCCCGAACAGAGACGTGCCGATATCTCCGAGCACGCCGACGACGAGGACATGGATCTCTCCGATTGATCTGGTCCGCCGCACAAGGACTGAGCAAATCGCCCGCAGTGTCGCATTACCCGATGCTAATGTACAAATACGATACAGTCCGTTCTACAGCGAGAGACTTATAACGATACAGTGGGGCGCATTGCGCTGGAGGCAGTGAGCGAGGGTCCCGGTCCCAGACATCCGTTGTCCGCAGGTCAGTCGTGAATCGTCGTGTCCGTGGCGTGTGTCCGCTCAGATGGCGGTGGAGCTAGACTTGAACGTCGGCTCTGGCGTACCAGCGCGAGAGCTCTCGGAGCGGGGTGGCGGCGGCGCGTAGCGCGGCAGACTCTCGAGCGGCTTCGAGATCAGGAAGCCTACAGAAAGACGCATCGTTAGCACTCGTGCACTGTATCGAAACGGCACGCAAACACGACGCACCCTTGAGACCTGCAGCCTTCTCGCCCTGCCGCCCGAATCCGTATCCCTTCTGGCCAAACTCCCCCGCCTGCGCCTGGGGCTTCTCGCCGCCCTTGAACATGCTGCTCACAAACGACGCCGACGCGGGGCGCGCAAACGTCGGGCGCATGTCCCGATGGCTCGGAAGCACGCCCTTCGCCTCGGCGCGCCACGACAGGATGGAGCGCTTCGCCTTCGCGCGCTCGCGGAAGACGAGGCCGACGAGCATGTTCACGCACCCGAGCGCGAAGAGGAAGAAGGCGGCGACGAGCGTGAAGTCGTCGACGTGGTGCGAGAGCACCGTCGCGCCGATGAGGCACTGGAAGATCCCGAGCGCGCCCAGCCCGAAGTCGGGCCCGAGCACGGGGAAGAAGCGCGCGAAGAAGGACGCGGGCCAGCCGACCTCGGAGAGGATGAGCACGACGACTTGGAAGATGATGAGTAGCCGGTTGACGACCGCCCAGAACACGCCTGCGGGCTGGTTCGGGACGGTGCTGCCTCTGTTGAGGTATTACTGTCAGAGGCTTATCAGATAAACGGATGTGGCGGGTACGTACTCGATATAGTCGCAGTCGGTCATGCCGGTGTTGGATTTCATCGAGCGGTTGACGGCTTGGACGTCGTTCACGAGGACGAAGATGCTACTGGCGAAAACGAGCAACATGGAGATGATGCTCAGGAGACGGACGACGTTGAGGCCGATGAAGAAGTCTGAGTCGAGTTAGTTAGGTCCGACTGTCCTAAATGCACAAGCCAAAGGCTACTCACATGCACGCGGAGGCAACATGGCGGCGTTGGTGATGTGGGGTGTGATAGGTTTTCGTTTGGGTACGTCAAGGATTGAGGACAGAGAAAACACTCTAGAGTCGGTTCAGAAGGCAGAGAGCGTGCAAGTGAGCGGCGAAGGCTGGATAGCGCAGGGAGGTATTTTCAAGATGGGACTCTAGCGGTCGACCGTAAGGGGTGTCCCAGCACCGGTGGCAGGCAAGTGGAAGTCGTAAGGAAAGAGCAGAGCGCAGAGGGAAACCCTACCCAAGAGGTTGTCTGCCTCAAAACGCCGCCCGTTCCATTTATACAGAGTACAAACGGGCGGGGGCCTCATTGTCCCCACCGCTATTGTTCGAGCGGCTGTCGACGCGAAGGACAATAGACGTTGTCGCTAAACCACAACGGCTGCCTTTTGTGGTGCTTACGTAACTTGGTGCTGGCCGTTAGCGCCCAGGTGTGCCAACCCGCAATACCCGCTTAGGGGAGGACAACGAACGTATATAATACGTATAGCAACAGCACAGACAGAGCCTAAAATAACGGTGGAAGTATATAACCAATATCGTGATAGCGTCGTTAACAAGAGATACTATGGATATGAAACAGCCTCTAGACCAGCGTCCGCATCTCGCGCAAGCTCTGCCGAGTCCATGATGACGGGCGCACCAGTTGCTCACTCTGTATACGCAGGGGGAGCATCAGACTCCGACGCTCTGTTAGCTGGAGGAGCGCGCCCTGCATCTTGGTGCACGAACGGTCCACGCGCGGGATCGGCGGATTGCGGAACGGCCTGGGGCGTCGGCTGTACCTGCGGGTTTGGCGGTGATGGAGATGAGAACATCGGTCCGAGCCCTGCGGGTGTAGGTGGCCGGCGCGGAACGTATGAACTCGATCCCGAGGCGTCCGGGCGTTCAGCGACGGTGGTGAGGCCACGATCGGGGTGCAGGTAGATCTGCGCCTTCTCCGATTGTGATGATACGCCTGGCACCGGGGATAGGACGGGAGGATAGTCGTTGACGACGTGGAGCTGGTGATGCTGATCATGTCCGACGCCGCTTGCAGTGAGGGTAGAGACTGATGCGGTGGCGGCGGGGGTATGAGGGGGGGATGGCATCGGGGGATACGTGCTGTAAGCCGACGGAGTGGTGTAGCTGGATTGTGACTGCACTGGCACGGGCCGTGGTGGTGGCGGTAGGCCCTTCCCGGACATTGGCTGATACGGCGATGGCCTTGGAGGTGGGAGCGGGCCGCCGTACGTAGCTGATGGCGCGTTCTCCGTGCTGGGCGTGTGAGGACCGGAGCTTGGCCCTGCGCTACTTAGAGCGCCGTACGTATACGGTCGTGGCTCGGCATCAATGGACATGGCCTGCTTCTCCCCATTCTTGCGTAGGACGTTCTGCGATCGGTCATCGTGGACGGTTTCGTGGAGGAAGAGATCGTCGTCGAAGTCATATTTGCGTCTTCTCCGACTGCGATAACGTTTCAATGAGCAAGCAGCCGGTTATACGATGTCATGAGGACGTACAATAGGAACCATGCGACAACACCGAGGATGACGGCTCCAACAGCACCGCCCACTGCCCCTCCAACTATGGCATCGGTGTTT